ATTTTTATTTATATTCGAATTTAAAAGAGTCTGATAAAAATTGTTAGTAGCAACAATCTGATTATAATGTTTTTCACGTATTGAATAATTTTCCAAAGAATCAATTAACAAAGATAATTCAAGAAAGTATTTAGTAAATAGATGCAGACGTTCCCTTACTGCATTTCCTGATGCTTGTCTCCAGTATTGATTACTTTTGATTTCACATTGTTTCAGCTTACTTTCCGAATATTTCTGAGCAAGTGTGGTGAGCAAGCATGGTAAGGTACACTAGCAGGTTGTCTTTCCACTAAAAGTTTTTAAAAAAATAATAGTTAAATAAAAAAAAAACCGAAATTGAACACCTCGCGTTTAAATTTTCCCTGATTTTGATAGAAACATACTTTAAGCAAATCAACAGATTATCACAGATTATTAACAGATTATGAAAAAGAAAGTTTTGGACTATTTATTTCAATTATGAATTTAATTTTTTTTTAAAAAAAATGTGACTTCGATATGACGAGTAACATCTTGTGAATTCATTTGTAACATATATGAATTGATCGGCAGAGCAACATACCGATATGGTAAAATCCCAGACTGTATTAATATCTTTTCACTTCTGTTATTAGGACGATCAATTCATGCTCTAGATTTTAACGATGATGGTAGCAGTAGTAGTAATAGCACGACTCGGAAAACTTCTAATTGAGGTCCCAATCAATTTTTTAAGTTTACCCAATGGTTCATATCATTAATACAACATTATTAAATTTACTATTACCCATTTATAACATGGACTTTTTTTTAAAAAATTTTACTTAAAAAGTCTTGGACCTTTTAATGCATCCATGATTCTTAATTAGAAGTTTCCGGGTCCTGTAATAGCCATGGTAATAGTAACATATTGTACAAGTAGAATCTTAGATGATGAAATTGCTAATCAAATACAACTAATGACAGTTCATTAAAGTTGATTTCAGCAAAGGTGAAAAATTTTTCGTTGATTAGAAATTACTGCCCATTAATATTCCCATTAAATTAATTAATAAACATTAGGTCTAGAAGAAAAAGATGTCGTAAGATGATCAATTTAACCTCCGCTATAAATTTTATTCATTGTTTGAAATAATAATTGTTTGTTCCAGAGCAGAAAACATTAAATAAATATGTTGACTGCTTTAATTTTCAGGTCGCACACATATAGCCAGCGATATAAGAAATCTACTCTGCAATAGGGAAAGCACCAAATATAAATTATTGGGGCTGGTCGCAATGGTTGATCGTTTATATCCCCATTTTTTTTTTTTGAGATACAAGTCACGCCCATTATAAACAAAAAATGTCATATAAAAGTCACGTGAAAATTATTATCATAATATTTTTTTTTATTAATTATTAACTTATTTAGCCTCTCTAAAACTCTGACTCATTAATTCTTGTAAACTATCTAATAAGCGATCCTCCACTATAAACTTTGGGTACTTGTTTCTTGTTGTATATAAGTAATAAGGTTTATGCAACTTTTCGATGCATCGTTAGTATTAATATGAATAATATTTTCCTCCTCCTCCTCCTCCTTTTCTTCTAATCCAGGCATTGCTTCAATTTCATAAGTGCTATCACAATTAATGTAGTCTTCAGTTGTTATTGTTTCTTCATAATATTCATTCATTATGTTTTGCAACTCTAATTCAACATTATACTCACTATTTTCATAATAATATAATTATCTAAATCATCTTTTGGTAAAATGCCAACCTTCTCCCAAGAGTGTGAACAATATTTTCGCATTTAACATTCTCCCAAAATACATTCTTTATTTCCTGTTAATTTATAAAGATCATACATTTCAACACGATTTTGACAAAGAAGCTTTTTATAACAACCAAATTATTCCAACGTCAAGAGGTTGGAGGTGAGCTGTGGTATTGGCAGGAAAAAAATGAAGTTTAACGTTTGACATATTTAAATCCCCTACATGTGATGATGCATTGTCAAGTAACATAATATATTTTTTTTTCACTTTTTTCATTTGTTCATTGACTTTACTGAAATAATATACCGGGAAGTTTGGCCTTATCCATTCCTCTAATAGCATGAGGATTTTCATACTTATGTATTAGTAATGGTTTAAGTTTTTCACCTTTAGAATTACATGCTAGCATAATAGAAACTCTCTCTTTGGACTGTTTTGTACCAGATATTTCACCATGAGCTAAAGTCTTTGATGGTTCAAGTTGCCAGAATAGGCAGTTTCGTCACAATTATAAATGTTATTAGGATCATAATCTTTCAGAATTACTTGAAGCTCTTCACAATATTGTGGTAATAGTTCAATTGGAGCAGACGCTGATTCACCTTGTCTAGTTACTGAATAAATATGGTGTCGATTTTTAAAACGAGAGAGCCATCCATCACTACCTTTAAAATCATTTATTTTCATAAGTTCAGCTAGGTCTTGAGCTTTTGTTTTAAGAATATCTGCTGAAATTGTAAGGTTATGTTTTATAACTTCATCAAACCAAATTGCTAGAGCTTCTTCTAATTGTGGCCAATTTGCTTGCCGATTCTTTTTAAATTGAGAAGTTGAAACAGATTCTGGTAAAATTACTGAAACTGTGCTTCGACCAATTTCAAAATCTTTGGCTAATTTATCTTGAGTTAAGCTAGGATCATTTTTAGCATGCTTACATAGTTCTTTTTTTTGCAAAGCACTTAAAGAACATCTTTTTTTTGATGAAGGTGCAGCAGAGGTTGAAGTCATTTTTAAAACAAAATTTAATTTTGATTTTTAATAATTCATTGTCTAATTAACCAATTAGTCATATTAATCAACGTTTTATTGTTATATCAAATGTTTTTGATTGGTTCTCTTGTTATATAAAAAAATTATTTTTGACAAATTATGTCATTATACTAGTATAACGGGATAAATAGTGAGTGTCATTATAACAGGCGTAAATTTGTATTTATAAATTTGGTTTTTAAAAAAATGTCATTATAACAAGATTGTCATTATAACGAATGTACAACTAAAGTGGGATATAACTAAAATCCATCATGTGATAATTTTTTATATAGTACATATAAGATCACTTGTCGTTACTCTAGTTAATTATTAAAAGAGTGGTTCACATCTAATTATTAATGCGACTGTTATTCCTAGGAAGGAAGGCAATAAAAGAATCAAAATAGACAATGATTCAAATAAAGGTATGATGTTTTTTATCTATATTTGATAAAGAAAAGCGTAAAAAATGGGAAAAGACACATGAAAAACTTTTATTTATCTAAAAGAAGAGAACGATCTTGAATTGACGACCCCGGCAAAAATTAATCTGATAATGAAGTTATTGAGAAGTTCTCCCGCGGTAGAACAATATTTTGATGAATTTAGAAATTTTTTTGCTGACGATAAGAGACCCGAAGATTTAAATCGAGTAATAGAGAACCTTGAGCAAGAAATAATTAGCTTGAAAGATCGTATTAAATCTCTAAAAAAAAAATTGTGTGAAGAAATGGACATAACTGAATCAGGGTTGGCAAATTGACTGGTCTATTGAGAACAGATGGATTTTGGACTGGTCCATTGCCATTAATAAAATACTAAATATGGTTAAAGTGTTACATTAATGGACCCAATAGACCATCAATAGACCATCAATGGATCGCACATTTGTCAACCCTGAGCTGAATCACTTAGCGAAGAAAATGATGAGCTAAAGGATCAAATATTACGATGCAAAATTTGTTTGGAAGACAATTTGACGTATTGCTTTTCTCCCTGCCATCATTTAGTAGCTTGTGAAAAATGTGCTCAAAAAGTTGATTATTGTGTGATCTGTTGGGCAAGAATAGAATTTTTAACTGCAAACAAATTTCCTTTTGGCCTGAGGTCCTTCTTTGGTGTACAAATGTTCACTTTGTCTGGTTTTTGAATTTTGCAACTGGTGCAGAACCATCTTTACTTTTGTCTAGAGGCAATCCCAAGAAAAGAACGAATATTATAATCACCTGAAATTCTTGGTAACTTCAATGTTCACTTTGTTTGGTTTTGTTGCAGTATGTCCCATATATAATTGTTTTATTGAAAATTTATTTTTATTTATTCTTAAAAGTAATGCTTTCTTTAATTAAAAGATAATGTGGTTGACGATTCTATTTTAGCATTAATATTTTAATATTAGATCTTAATATTCAATTGGGAGATTATACATTCAAAAGGTAATGTTGTGAAAGCTTTATTCTAATATTTAATATTTAATATTTAATATTTATAAAATTACATGATAATAAATATAATAACATTGTATATTCAACTATAGATTGGATCATGACACTTGATTGAGATGACTGCTTAAAAGGTAATGTTGACTTGGAGCTTTTATTCTCTGATGTTAATAATTTTAATTACATGGCAATACATAGGATGTCCAGGATTATGCTTTGGCATAATTGGAGCATAATTCTTAATTTTTTGGCATAAACGCACATTGAGCATAATTGGACATTTTTTGGCATAAAGCATAATAATTTACTTTATGTAAGTGATCAGCAAAATCTTCCCACAAAAAAAAAATAATATACATATAACGCCTGGAAAAAAAAGCCACTATATTGAATACTTTTATGTTGATGGAGGAAAATTATTTTGTTATTTTTGCAACTGTACTATAAATCATGAAAACAAGTCCATTGTTGATAACCATATAAAGTCAGAAAAGCATAAAATTGAAAGCATCAAACTAAACCACAACCAAAATAACAATCCTTGATTATGAAAAATCAAAATTGCAATCATTGAAGTATTTAAAATTAATGACCAATTTTCGCCCACATGAGTTTTGAAATTTGAGCGTGTGGCGCAGCAATGGAAGTCTTTAAACCGAGCACTAATGATCAACCATTGTGACCAACCCCAATAAATTATGCCCGCTGCTGATTCAGACAGTTAAATACTGTGTAACATTTTACACAAATGAATATCGGATCGTTTGAACAATTTGCAATTGTAATCTAGATAATGAAGATTACCTTATCTGCACCAAAAGTAGTTGTTCAACAACAACCACAACAGCAACAAAACAAACAGATTCAAACTTCTTCAACTGAAAAGAATAAACCAATAGGATTAACAACTATTATCGAAGAATTAGAAGAGCTTGAGATACCATTTGAAGAACAATTTATATTAAGATTGTCACTTCCTGCAGATATAAAACAGAGATTTAGAGCAAAGATCAAAGATAAAAAGATTGAAAATGTTGTTAAAATCGTCTTTAAAGGTTGAAAGCCATTATTTGTTGATCATTAAACTTCAAAATAATGATTATATCTAATTATATCATTTTATTATTAATAGACCCGCGTCGTGCAATCTTCACTTTTGAAAACAAAGATTATAATGCACGTTTGGTAGATTTACCTTGTATAGTGGAATCACAAAAGACATTTAATGGTGGACAATTATATAAAATAGCAGATATATGTCAAGTAAGAGAGATGATTTTATTCTCGTGGTTATTTTGGAGAGTATAATGATAATAATAATATAATATGGCGATGATGATAATTATCTTAAAGATGTTAATCGTGGAAGGAGAAGAATTTACTGAGAACACTGAATCATCCAATATAGATGAATTTGAATGGCAAGATGGTATAACACCTCCGTTAAAAAATGTTAGAAAAACAAGATTTAGAAAGCGTATTTCTAATAAGGTATATGATAAATTTATATTTATTACTATTATGAAGGATTGCCATTTTTTAATTTTCATTACTATTTAAATAAAATATGATTTTTATATATTAGAAATTAGAAGAAATAGAAATGGCACTTCAACAATTATTGCACGATGATTCCTTAGCAGAAGAAGTAAAGCTTGGTAAATTTTAATAAATTATGATAACAAAAAATCAAAATGATTTATAATTGTTATTATTATTATTATTACTATTATCAAATTATGCGAAAAAATAATAATCATTTAATGTAATGGAGATTGTAATTATTACATTAAATAAAAGAATGGGTAGATTTAGACGCTGTTAATTCCGAATCAACAACACCAGTTGATGTTGATGGATCAAAGCAGCCAGAAGGAGAGGATACAGGACAGCAGGAAGATATTGATTCAATTGACGAATTTCTGTTGAAAGAATTCGAACGTCAAATTGATATGATGGAAAATTTATCATCGGATAATGATGAAAGTAATGATGAATCTGATGATGAATCTGATGATGAAAGTAATGAAGAATTTGATGAAGAAGGAATATTAGGAAAAGAAGAAGAAGAAGAGGGGGAGGAGGGCGAAGAGGAAGAGGAAGAAGATGATGAAGACGATGAAGAAGATGAAGAAGATACCGAAGAGAGTTCTAATGGTTAATGATTTTTAGAAAATAATTTTTTTTAATTGGAGAAATTTTTTTCTGAAATTATTTTATACTTTTTATAGAAGAACAATTGGCTGAATTAGAATCACTATTAAAAAAAAAGGAAACAGACTTGACTAAATCAAATAACCCTGTCATGACGGTATTATTTTATTTTATCTAATAATAATTTTTATAGTAATATTCTTTTAATATGTTTTTTTAAAATAGAAAAATTATATATTTGTGTATTATATAGGAACGAATTGTAAGCCAAATTGCAGATATTAAAGAAGAAATGGAAAAAAGAAAAAAGAAATAGGAATTTAAAAGCATGTAGTATTTATTGTTTTTTTTATTTTTAGCTTTGAAATATTATTTATATTTATCTATCTCAGTTATTAATAATACAATATTAATTTACAGATAATAATAAATATTTTAAAATTAGATTTTTAACTTTAGTTTCGTAATCAACAAGAAAATAATAATATGATATGGGTAAAATTTACTCTTTATTTAATTCTCATGCTTGTTAATTAATTCATTGATTGATTGAATAACTTTTTCCTGAACTATGCAGGTTTTCTAATTCATCATAGGCTTGATATCACTCATCCACAGTTAATGTCACAAGTTGAAATGTCAAGTGGAACGCAGTTTTGCATTTTCAATAATAAAATAAAATTTAAAAATGCAATTGAAATATCAACATGGGGTTGATACCTACTTTAATTAATCGAAAGTTATGACATTTCCTTTTAAAGTTGTAGACACAATAGCAAGCCCTATTAAATGCATATATTTTATCAGTTATACAAAAATATCATAAGCCATGCTGCCATATCATCATAATAATTCCCAAATTCTTGTGAAAAATTGGTAAAGTTAATTGTAAATAACTCCTTGCACTTGAGGGGTTATAGAAAACTCATTTAGACTTTAATATCGTAAATACCACCTCTTTTACTCTTAGAAGATGTAGATCTGATGAATCAATTGAATGCATTACCAATAAAAACGCTTTTCTACCTGTCAAGATGAACAAAAAAAACTGATTAGTCAATCAGGTGAATAAGTACTGATATTACTAGAAATAACGTGTTCATGTTAACTCCAAATAGAAAGTGACATAGCTGTAATTCACAAATGAACGCGTGATTGATTAGTATTGTGATTAAAATATATTTTGTCAACTCATCGTTACAATTAGCCAGATCTTCATTCTATTTCACCACAGATTCATGAAAAAGATTTCATCTCTTTTTATTATTATTATTATTATTCAAGTTCTCTAATTCGTCACGATAAATCAAAATACATAAAAAATAAAAACTCATCCAACCCAAAGCGGTAATTACAATCTCGCAATAAGAGAGAAATGAGTACCAAAAAAATATTTGTAGGAGTTACACCAACGTTACATTTAAAGTGATGAGTGACAGAATAATTTTTTTCTTGGATTGAAAAATAAAAATGAGACCATTAACGGAAGATGAAACTAAAATATTTTTTGAAAAACTTGCAAAATAGTAGGTTTCATACTCTTTTATGATATAATATATTTTCAATGAATAAATAAGTAAATTCAATCTTGTTTTTCTAAAAAAATTGCTTTAAAGCATCGGAAGAAACATAATACATTTGATTGATAGATCTGATGAAACCTATGTGTTTAGATTACAAGAAAATAAAGTTTATTATACGAGGTAAGAGAAGAATATCATAAAAAGAAAGATCATGTGTGTGAAAGTAGAAATTACTTTATATATATACGATTTAATCATAATTGGTATCAAATATATTTATCTATATACACATTTATCAATCAATAAAAAATAATTAGTGACAAGATGATGCGCCAAGCAATGAGTGTAGGAAGAGATAATTTGAAATCAGTTGGAATATGTTTCGGTAAATTCACTAAATCTCGAAAATTTCAAATAAAAATTACCGCATTAGATTACTTGGCCCAATATGCAAAGGTGAATAATATTAACAATATATTGTATTATAACATCGTAATAACAACATACATTGATTGATTAATTAATTAATTAATATATAGTACAAGATATGGATAAAACCAAATGGAGAAAATTCATTTTTGTATGGTAATCATGTATTAAAGGCACATCTTGGACGTGTAACAGATGATACGCCTGAACATCAAGGTGTCATTATATATTCTATGTCTGATATACCTTTGGTAAATATAAGTAATTATGAATATATGAATTGATTGGTTCTAAATAAACTAATTAATAAATAATATTTGACAATAATATTTAATTAATATAGGGATTTGGAGTAACTGCTAGATCAACTGTTGACATTCGTAAATTACAACCAACAGATATTATTGTATTTCATCAGTCAGATGTAGGAGAATATTTACGTGATGAAGACACATTATTTTAACGATTAATAATAATCATAACATTATACATAGATGAATAATAAATAAATAATATGTCAATTGGTATTATTTTATTGTGATAGTTAGTTAATTTGTTATATTAATTTAATTATAACATTTCAATAATAAAGAATAAATCAATTTATAAGCTTGAATATGAATCTTACTTTATTTATTGAGAAAAAAAATGTAGTAATTAATATAAAAAATATTATTATTATTATTATTAATAAAAAAATGAGAGAAAAGATATATAATAATTTTTCATCATTATACACACACACATATACTTATATATACACAGAAAATTTGTTTGATAAAAAAATAAAAAATAAAATGATATCTGATTGCGTATATATGTATATATATACATATATTAAAAAAGAAAATTAATTAATTATTGTTATTAATTAACAAATAAATATTATTATATATATTATTGAACAAATTATTATAATTACTTAAGCTTCAGATGCAGCAGCACCACTCTTTTTAGACTTTTTGGGTAGAAGGTTTTGATGAATGTTTGGTAGAACTCCACCTTGAGCAATTGTGACATGACCGAGTAATTTATTTAATTCTTCGTCGTTTCGAATAGCAAGTTGTAAATGACGGGGAATAATTCTAGACTTTTTGTTGTCTCTTGCAGCATTACCAGCCAATTCAAGAATTTCAGCTGCTAAATATTCAAGGACTGCAGCTAAATAAACAGGTGCACCTGCACCAACTCTTTGAGCATAATTTCCTTTTCGTAAAAGACGGTGAATACGGCCTACTGGAAATTGGAGACCGGCTTTGGCAGATCTAGATGAAGTAGCTTTTGAAGTAACGGCTGCAGCTGATTTACCTCCACTTTTACCTCCTGAAGACATTTTTTATTATTTATTTGCGTAAAAAAGTTTTTTTTTATTAAAAAATAGGCGAGTAGATTTTATTTAAATTTGTTTATTTATTAATTTTTTGTGTAGGAAGTCAATGTAGGTATTTTTTCTTGAGAAAAAAAAAGTATTAGGGTACAAAAAAAGAAAAACGATGGGTATTTATAACTAAAAGGAAACGCCTCGATAAAAAAGTTAATTTTTATAGTCCATCTATTTAAACTACTGTGATGATTATAAATATTGTTTTTATTTGTAAATAATAATAATAAATTTAAAAAAAAATTCCAGTCAAGACTAAAATAGGTTAATCATATAAGTTTAATTATAGGTTATTGTTATTATAAGAATGTTTTAATAACTAGTACAATTAATCAATTAATTAATTAACTAGAAAAAATCACGAGAGTTTCATGTTACATTTTTTCGATAATAACAACAAACAAATCATGATCAATTAACGTGATCACTTTCATCATCATCATATTCCAAAATTAGTTGTTGTTATTGAAAAGATTCCTAAAAAGATTTATGACACGTTTAAAATTTACACTTTTCGTCAAAAATATCAACAAAAAAAAAAATTAATAAAATATAAAAACATCAACAACTAAAAAGGTTAGTTTTTGCTGTTGTTATTGTTATTGTTATTGTTATTATTTTTTTTTAATCAGAATATTGTTATTGTTTTTATTCAAAAGTTTTCGCGCGTTCATATCAAAAAAAAAATTTCTTATATAAACAGATCAAATTCTCCAACAAATAACGAAAATTTTTCAAAATTTCTTAATCCCAAAAAAATAATAAATAAATAAATTAATTAATCGTTCAACAACAAATAAAACAAATTATTTAACAAGAAAAAATGCCACCAAAATCTGAAAAAAAACCAGCTACCGCTGCTAAAGCTCCAGCTTCAAAAGGTCCAGCTGCATCGGCAGAAAAAAAAGAAAATAAAAAGGCAACTGTTACTACTGGTGGCTCTGATGAAAAAAAAGTTAAAAAAAGAAAAGTCAGGAAGGAAACTTACTCGAGTTACATTTATAAAGTTTTGAAACAAGTGCATCCTGACACTGGTATTTCCAACAAAGCAATGTCTATTTTAAATTCATTCGTCAATGACATTTTCGAAAGAATCTCGGGTGAGGCATCAAAACTAGCCGCCTACAACAAACGATCTACTATTTCTTCACGAGAAATCCAGACAGCTGTTAGACTCATCTTACCAGGTGAATTGGCTAAACATGCAGTATCCGAAGGTACAAAGGCTGTCACAAAATACACAAGTTCTAAATAAATAATAATCAATAATTAGTTTTTTTTATATTTCAAATAATTAATATATATTATATATGTGTATGTGTGTGCGTGTTAATTTTTTTTTTTAATTAATCATTAATTATTATTATTATTATTATTAATATTATTATTGCAATAAATTTTATTTTATAAAAAAAATATTATTACATTACTGCTATTTATTCCTTGCTATCATATTTATATTCTTATCAATATATATATATATAATAAAGTTTTTTGTGATTAAAGAGAAAAATTTGGCCAAAACGACATTTATTAATAATACCAAATTTCATCCATCCAAAAATTCTTACCATACGATCTAGTTATCATTGCCACTAAATAAATTATAGACTCTTATAACTATTACTATGTCACTCGAACATAATTTCAGCTACTATTAAAAACTAATTCTGGCATTTTAGATCATTTATTAACATCTATCTAACCGTATTAATGATGATTGATATAAATTTCGGGTAAAATTCCACCTATTTATTTAATGCTAAACATTGATTAATAAAAAAATCATTTGTTATAAAAAATAATTCTAAAATAAATAATTTACAATCTCTTATTCTTTCAGGTTTTAATAATTTGATTACCAAAATTATAAAACCATAATTTAAACCTAACGACATAGTAAACCACAGTTCGTTCGTGACGTTTAATGTTTTACATTGTTTGATAATTTTTAATGATATATACATATAAAATAAATCGAAATCAGCCCCATAAACGTGAATGGACCATGGTATAATTGAGTTCGTTACTATTAATCGTGGAACGCTTATTTGGTCAGATTTTCGTAACTAAATTCGCAAGAATTTCTGCCTTCCACTATAAAATTTCTACCAATTCTAGGAAAAAAAAAATCTCAGAAATGCATTAATAAGGAAAATAATAAAAGAGAATAAAGATGATCATCATTATGAAAACAGTGTATTTATTTTTCGTCAATTATTTGGAAAATTTGTGATTCCATGATGTTATTATAAGTATTTGGTGGATTTAATGAACAAGCTGCTGCATATAATAATTATTATTAACCCGACTGAATTGTGCAGTATTAATATCATTTCTATTACTTGTTTTAAATATAAACTTACTGTTGTATTCTTATTTATCCAAATTTCATTTACATTTATTTACATTCCAATTAAGTGAATTATAATCACCAACTATTACTATTTTGCTCTGAATTTTACCAACCACAAAGGTTTTATTGGTATTATCACATTTTCGATGAAATGTAATTGCATTTAAACATTTCTACTACTTTTATATAGAAGTTTGAATTCATATTTGGCTTCCCTGAATGAAGTATATTGATTTTTTCTTGCAAGATGGTAATAAATTTTTTGTTCATCAGGAGCTACATAATATTGCAACCAATTACTCTATGGAGACTTAGGAAAAAGCATTTGATATAATACAATTTTATCAAAAAAATTATCCTTGGAAATATAGAGATTCTTTTAATGTGTCTCCCAAATCAACAAAAGTTTGTATGAATGACTAATTTTCAACATTGATACTATTGATTTCTGGATGCCCCATTTAAAACGTTTCTCTCTCATTAACTAAAAATCAGAATCTCCAATAAGTTGGTTTTTCAAATTCCCTTGACTGAAATTTTTCACTAATCATAAAGCCTTTCTTAAATTTTCATTTGCATAAATCGATTGTAGAATTTTAACTGGTTTTCTTTTAATATAATCTTCATGATTTCAACAAAGCATCATATATTTATAAAGTGACTCAACAACACCAAGTTGATCTAATATTTTCCTTAATATATAATATTTATTTTCTTAACTTATCCATTTCCTTTTGTTGTAAATTCATTACTGAAAAATAGACAATGAGCTAATATAATAGATATGCATGCATGGATTTCTTTAATGTTATGTTCTATGCCAAAAATATTTTTACATTATAAAATCGTATAATAAAATTTTATTTAATACATTTTTGTAATAAGTGCAAAAGAAATTTTGGGATATAAACTTTTGGAAATCAAGTGTACATTAACCATTTTCAGCCATTTCTATTTTATAAATAAAGAGTGGTGTTATGTGTAACATATCAAATAATCGCGAGTTTAAAGATTATTTTTCTTTATAAACTATTACTGTTATAATTTTACAATATCACTGAATAGAAAAAAAAATGAGTTGGTAAGTGTTTATTTCAAAGCTGTTTTTAACAATTGTTTATATCTATTATATGTAATGCGGATCATATTTAGGTCTGGACTTAAAAAGAAAATTGATCGTACACAAACCAAGGTAATTAATAGAGTTTTACAATTGAAAAAAAAGCATCAGGAATAATGTCTATTAATAATCTATTTGTTTTGGTTGAATAGTTATCACAAAAAATTGGTACAATTGAAAAAACGGTGGGTAATTATTAGTATTGCATTGCTATAATGAATAATATTAATATTATTAATGAAATTGTAGGTTGATAAAGATTTTGATGAAGAAGAGAAACAAATAAAAAAGTTGGTATATTTTTGATTTCAAAATTTAATAATTTTAATTGTTATAATAATTGTTATAATTGTTACTATAACTTTAATTTTTCCTTCAAAGTCTTGAACAAAAGACAGAAAAAATTCATAAAGAAGCCAAAGGATATTTAGAATCCATGCATGGTCAGTGCATAAATTTATTTGTAATTTGCAGTTTTTCCAAAACTCTAAAAACATACTTTACATTAATTCAAATTATCTAATGTTAATTAATTAGCAATGTCAACAGCACAATTAAAAATAGCAGAAACAATTAATCAATTTTATGAAGACTCATCAGAGCAAGTTTTTGTTGGAAATAAATATAAAGATGCAGTTGAATTGATAGATCATAATTGTAGAACATATTTAGTTTGTAACAAATAATTCAATTAATCATTATCCTAATATTACATTATAATAATTAGGTTATGGTATTAATTATTTAATATTATGTAGGATGAACCTTACAAACATACAGTGACTAATCCTATTGGAAAACTTTGTGCATATTTCCCAGAAATAAATGAGACAATAAAGAAAAGAGATAAGAAATTATTAGATTATGATGCTCAACGTGCAAAAGTTAAAAAATTGATTGACAAACCAGAAGATTCAAATAAATTATCAAGAGTAAGCAATAAGACAACAACAATACATTTATTGTTATATATAATATATACCTTTAATTTTATTTATATATAATTTCTAGGCAGAAGAAACATTAAACGAGACAAAATTACAATATGAGTCGTTGAATAGACAATTGATAGAAGAGTTGCCTAAATTAATTGATCTAAGAGTTCCATATATAGATCCATCTTTTGAAGCACTTGTAAAAATACAATTGAAATTTTGTCAAGAAAGTTACGATAGATTAAATGATTTACAAAGATATTTTCCAAGTAGTAATAATAAGGTTGAGACTGTCTTACAACAAATGAAAGAATTATCAATTTGTGGAATAATTTAATAATTAATTATTGATGATGGGATTATTATTAAAATATTAAATGTGATCATTATTGATATATTAAATGGGAATATTATTGATATTGGTGAATAAGTTAAATATTATTTTTAATTGAACCTTCTTCCAATTTTAATATTAATATTAACCCTCCAAGTGCTTCGTGTATATAAGATGGTAGAGGAGTTTGTTCTGCTGATGGCTTGGAAAACATATAATTACATTCTCACCATCATACCATTTTGCTCTTTATTATAAAATTGTTTGAGTTTTGAGCAGCCGAAAATTAAATCTTTTATTTGAACAGGAGATAAAGATTAAAACCAAATCGAAGACGACATGTAGCGTCTTTGATGTATATCTTCCAATGAATTCTTTTATGGATTGTTGATTGGAATTTTCACTTCATTGTAACCCCACAAACCCGTCTCTATAATGTAAATCCAAAAATTGACAAAAAATTAAATGGTTGAATATCTGTGGAAGGACTTTAAACAAATTATTCGATATAAAAAAAAAGGTTGAGCAGGATTCCGATTTTTATTAATAAATGGTAGAAGGAATTCAGAAATGTGCCATTAAGAAAAGAAAATGAATAAAGAGATGGAAATGTTGATGAAGTAGATATTAATATCAGTAATGATATTATTGTTGACCAGAGAATAGGTCTGGGTATTTTCCTCCCACGCAATTACTCTGGTAGTTTTTACTTATCATCATGTATTCTTCTATGTATCAGTTTTATTGACTCCATATATTGTATTGTGCCCGTTGCAATGTTCATGATGATATTTCATTTGATATTAATATGAGTATCAAAACGAGAAAAAATATCAGCTTGTTCATTTAACCTAAAACCTTTGATGCGTAACACCATATCATGTCTATTTCTTTCTAATCCAGGACAGGACAACAACCCTTCTCTTAACTCTCTACTGGTTCCTTTACCGATGATATTATTGCCACTAACAAAAAAGAGTTAAAAGAAAAACCTAGGAAAAAAGAACGATAAATATCACTTAGCAGTAATAATGATTTTTCCTCACTTAAAAGAATAAAAGAAAATATATAAAAATAAATATATATATACAATTATACTACTTGAGGCGTTCCACAAGCAATATAGTAAAGGGTATTATTTTTGCCTCCCCAATTACAACATCCTTTATCATTTTCGCCTCAACCACAACAACCTTTATCTCAACCGCAACCACCCTTATCATTTCTGCCAACACAACTACAACGACATTTATCGTTCTCACATCAACCACAACAATTTTTATACTCTAACAGCAATAATATTAATAATTGTTGTAGTAATCCCAATTTAAATCCAAACATTCCTTTGTTGAATTATAACAATAATGGCATCAAATATGACAACCACTTTTTAATCCTTTCTATTTCCCATCGTATGTCGCTTATTAAGGATTATAGTCTGAAAATAAACCAGTGTCATCTTGAAATGGAACAAATCATCAATTATTTGAAAAATCAGTAAAAAAAAAGTTAAAATACAAAAAAAAATTTTCAACTAGTATTGTATTATCTGTCTTTAATATAATATTGATTAATATTTTATTGTTTATATCTATTATAACCGTTATTTATATTATTATTACAATTTTATATTTTTCTAAAAATAAATTTTATACATATATACTTTTAACAATAAATTTGAATACAAATAATTTTTTGAATCCTTTATCAAAAAGAAATTCTGATTATTGATCACGAGCTGAAAATTTTCAATTGTTAAACACCCACCCCTAAACCATTGGGGCCTGATATTATTTGTATTACCATGTAAAAAATTCAATCAGTAAAAGTCAAACGAATCCTTATAACTTTTAAACCATGTACAACCTAGATATATCTCACATGCCGGGATATATAAACAACACATAAGATAAAAATAACGAAGCTAACAACAATGGGTATTCATGATTAGTGAGGGATATTAGTCTAATTATTTATATAAATAAGACCATGCATGACCATCATTGCAGCTGCACAGCGAAGCTTTGAGGAGTCTTAGACTTTGATGTGCATGGCATAATAATTTTGTAATTTTTGTGAAAAAATCTACAAAGTCATAAATTTTTATATACAGTATATATAAGGTAATATGTATATGAAAAATGAATGCATACCTTTTTAATGGCTCAGCTCCAACAATATGGGCAGACGCCTTAAAAAGAACCTTTTACTGCTGGAACCACAATACATCTCTTTGTCGAAAACATATCTTAATATGCTGATGAGACACCAAACAGATTAGGTTTTATTTTCATGAATAATTAGAATTAATTCATTTATATGTTGATATTCTACTATATGTTAATGTTAACCTACACGAACTATACCACTCGAATGGGAAAATAAAATGTATACAAGAAGAATTTTGGTGGGAATAAAGTTCAGTTTTGAATGAATATAAGAATCTATTCTTAGGCAGTAGAAGTAGTAGAAATATTAAGGTTGTCATCATAGCAACGAAATAAAATCACATTACAATATTTAATAATAAACTTACACTATATAATAAATAAAATGTTATCTCAAGTGCAATATTTGCTTACACTTTGCTGTATGGAGGCTTTTCAATAGAAGTGCGCAAAACTCTGAAAACCCAATTTTATGTAACTTTTTAGGTAAAACATTTTTGGATTAGAAATCACGACCACCTTACATAGCAAAATCTTGGGATATTTTCTTTTGGAGTTTCAATAATAATAGCAAATCCAAGCATCATCTTTAAAGTTTCATGCGTTCTTATTGAAAAACAAGGCCCTGTATTATCAGCAAATTTGAAATGCTCCCAGACAACGTTATGAGTATTTCTTGATGCTATAGCTAATAAATAATCCATCTATCTGACGATTAAAACCTTTGACATTCTTTTTTTGTATAAACATAGGGTTCAATAGTATCAATCGATCAAGTTAAATAGAGAGTTTGGACATTGAATCTTCTTTATTGGTTGCTGAGATAGCCAACAAAAGGTGATGTTTAAAAATCTTGATGAAACACAAGTTTGAAGTCGATTACATACTTGACTCAAGAATTGAATAATTGGAAAAGATGTAACAAATTTTGTGCAACAACGTTCGGGAGTAACAGAAGCATTATCCAAGTTAATGCTCACCATTAGATGAAACAGAAGTTAGTAGTTACAATGATGTGATTACTATTGTTGTCAATTAATATTCTAAATTGAAGTGTTCTTCTATACCTTCTATAGGATTTCTTTCAGTTAATAAAATATCTAATTTTACAACTCCAATCATGCCTGTCAGTACATATTGGTAAATCATACCAAGTGACTCGTCATTTGTATCATCATTGATGCTGTTAACGAAGAAGAGTCTGCAAGAAATTCTTTCGTTGGTCCAGTTGTGTTATAGCGGAATATATTGGTCCTTGAGTAAGTGTTTTAATTCCGCCTGGCTATTGATTTTACAACATAGAATACATACATGTTCACAATTAACGTTGTCCCGATTATGAGTCCTTTTTTTTTAGAAAAAATACTAAGCCTATAATCGATTGGTTAGTATATATGTCAATAATAAATTATCGTATGTACGGTATCAATGAATGTAAGCTTTGCCTCGTCCTCTTCCATTCATAGGGTCAACACAACCGTTACCATTTTGATGAAGATTTAATTGTAAAAACTACCAAGTAATTCCCAATCAACGAGTGACAAGCCAATTTCTGAAGACTTAGTCTTGCTAAAACCATGAAAATCACGGTGGGTAAACCAATAAATGGCGTCGCTGTTGACTTGGTGATTTGTGGCAGAGATTGGAATCGGTCAAAATTTTGTTAGTCGATTAATCAGTCTTTTTTTTGGATCATTCAAAATATAAAATAATAATATTAATACGAATTATTTGTAATACAGCTCAAGCTTGATTTGAATTAATCATTTGAATAAAAATTTATTCGTTTTATTCGTTCTATTCTTAATTCGTTGATTCGTTTTATTCAAAAAGAAACCTACTTCTAAAAAAAGATCGATCCTAAATACTAATACTCGTACTAACTAACACTTACTGAAACAATATTTTTATTAATTGATCAACATTTTTCAATTTCTACATCCTTTGTCTTGGGAAGGACCTATGAAATGGACTTTCAATTAAAAGAACGGGTAACGGGGTGTTTTGAACGCCATTCAGGTAGGCAGACAGTTGGCCGCGTAAACATCATTTGCATCTTCTTTGTCTAATTTTGATATAATCTTTCTGGAGCATTGTTAATAAAAAGGTTGCAGCATATCAATCTTTGTTAGGAGAGAACATACAAGCAAACAAAATAAGACAAATTTGATCAAACCAATGCTTTATCCTCCAATTAAAATAATAATAGGTTTCCATCAACAGATTAATAGAATGACAATGTTCTGCGTGCTTATGGTTGTTTTGTGGATATTTTTTCAATTTAGTTTCAATTTAATTAACACTAATATGAGCCATGGTTTTTTATGCAATCTAAGTAACATTTCCCTGCCAAAGCAGATCTTTCCAAAAATAACACATGTAAACTCGAGAAGTCAACTTTAAATAATTGATTGAGAGGACCGACTTGTTGAGTTGTTTAAGTTTACCAATGTATCTATTTTATATTATTTTCTCACAATTTGTTTACTAACCTCTTTATGTGCTAGTTTCTTTAATCGAAAACTTCTTTTGCTAATTTTCTTTCGATTCAAGGTAAAATTTTCTATAGACTCTCCAAGTTTTTGTATTTTCATCGTTCTTGTTTATTCAAATTGACCATTCCTTGCCTTTTTTTTGTCTGCTTCTCTTTTCTCTCAGTAAAGGATGAACTTTCAACCGACATCCTTTTAATTCTCATTATGTTCAAACCTTTAATTTGCAATCTATCAATATTTTTTGTTCTTTTGGTTCCAAGTTTTGTTTAATTATCCATGTTCTTTCCCATTCCTTACTGGCTTCTTGAGGTTCTCCTAGTTTATCGAAATGTAATTTACAATTGATTTGGTAGGTTACTATGATATTTTCATAATCCTGAGAACATTTCCTATTTTTAATGATTTTTCAGTTATCAAAATCATTTATTTATATGAACACCTATTAATTAAATCTACTAAATCTTGGGGATATTTAACTTGTTTGGGGAATTGAGGTCTTTCTCCACGAATGATTTTTAAGGATAAATATAAGTCATGGGCTTGGGTAGTAAAAGGAGGTAAACCAGTTAGTATTTCGTAGGCAATAATGCCAAAGGAATCCAATGAATAATCATAATAATCTAAATAATAAAGTCGAATAATTTGTTAGCAGAAGTTAAAATTAGTTACAACACAATAAATAGACAACTAAATTCTTTTTTTTTTCAGTTAATCATAAAAGATTAGGTTCATTTTTGCCCAATATAATTATGTATATACAAATTTTATTAAATAATTATACTCTATAAGTAGACTTGTTTAGTTGAATTAAATTGGAGGTTAATGAATATTATCATTACTGGTATTCAATCTTACATAAAGGGAAGAGCAAAAATGAGAAAATAAAAGCAAAAAAAATATCAAATAATTCATTATCCTATTAAATTATTAAATTATTCTATTAAATTATTAAATTATTATCATTGTTAAAATTACATATGATTAAAAATATAGATTCTAATATAATGCTAAAATTCAATTCTAAAAAATTATATATGCTCTAATAAATAAAGTTGTAAGTTATAAAATTATGATTGTTCTCTTCCGGCTTCTAATGATTCGGCCTTTTTTTGTAAATCATCCATAGCATCAAATATAACATCGGTTATTTTAATACGTGTTGATAATTCCTCAGTTTTACCTTCATGAAAATTAATCAATACATCTTTAAAGTCAATTGGATTTCCATAAGCAATTACCATTTTTTTACCAAGAATTGGAATCCAAGGACGATCTCTTTCCTCTGGCATAATTTCTTCCAACCCTATAGTAATAAGGATAATAACAATAAGATTGTTATATATATTATTATGAATAAACAAAAGTATTATATTATATATGTGTGTATTATATTAATAATACCTTTGTGCCATAATGGTACAACTATGGGTGGATTTGATGATTCCATTAATAAACGGCCAATTCCCCATTTGAATTTAAGCATATCCAATGTTTGATTGATTTTTCCCTCTGGAAATACATGAACCTAAAATAGTGTATGTTGCGTATAAAAACATTGAATATGTTATTTACTTATCTATTTTATTTGTGTTTATATTTATATTTATTTTTATATTTGATCGAACAATAATAATCTTACCCAATTACCATCATTTAATCTGTCCAATGCAAAATCCATAGCAGGTTGATAAATGCCAGCACCTCTAACAGTAGGTACAACTTGACCAAGTGCAAATATCTTTGAAACTGTACTATTTTTATTATAATGTGTTATTAATAATATATTATTAGATGATCTTAAATATTGTCGTTGCGATTATATATACATCTACTTACGGTGTGATAAAACATAGCTCTTGTGCACCAAGAGTCCAACGTACTTTTTCACGATTTAGAAATACTTTGAAAGGAAGACTTCCCCAAATTAAAGGATCGTCGATCCTAATTAGGTATGAATTTAATCAAATCAATCAACCAATATATAGTTAATTAAATATACATATTCGGTATAAACCATACATTTAATCACTTACGTTGATAAATGGTTTGCAACTTTTTTGTATTAGGATATGATATGATTCCAATAATTAATAATTAATTATTAATTAATTAATTAATTTAAAATTTTCCCAAAATCGTATATTTTTCCCCAAAAAAACAAATCTTCACCAAAAAACATCCATACCTGTCAATATGGGACGTGTTCTTTTTGGATCCATTAATAATTTAAGAAATGGTTCTTTATTAAATACAGTGGTAGAACTATTACAGAATTTCAAAAAAAATTTACAAATAAGTACACAAGAACATATTGCACACCAACTAGCTAACATCCATAATCTATTTGTTGCTGGGGTTAAAAGCATTTTTCCATTTTTGACAAAATATGGCAATGGAACATTTACTGATTTAATTGTGGTGAGTTTCTCGATTGTTTCTTCAATATTAGAAAATGATGATGACGGAGAATAATTTGTTGTATCTTCTATTTCTTCTGATTTTGGTGCCATGTTCTATCTCTAATATTTGTAATGAGTTGATAAATAAATAAATGCAAGGTAATTTGAGAAAGTTGTATAATTTTAAAAAAAAATGAAAAAAAAATTTTTTGCTATATACATAATAACTTAACATAAGAAGGTATGTCGTACTACAATCAAAAATCCAATAATGACCATATTTTTAAATTAAAAAATCAGAATGGCTTTTTACTTTTATATTATTATTATACTGCGCACAGAAAATCTTTTGAAAATAAAAAGTTCATTTTTAATAATTACTATTTATAAATAAATGAAAAGTATCCAGCATCATCCCCCCAAAAAAATCAAATCAACAAAAAATCAATTGGTAATCAAATATTCTACACACCCCCGTTGTTTCTAAATTTGCAAAGAAAAAAAAAGTCTTTTTCTCTCTTCTCATCTTTTGGTTTCATATTTAATTTCTTTTTTTTCTTTCTCCAAATAAATAAATAAAAAAAATAATTTATATTATAAAATATATTATTATATAATAAATTTTTATTACATCTTCAAACTTCTCCTTATTTTATATATATACATACATTTTCTTTAAAAAAAATGGCACTTAAAAGAATCAACAAAGTAAGTTTATTATTATTGTTATTTCAATGTTAAGCGTAAAAGGCCTTCGCAGGGTATTTTTATTGTTGTTGTTTTTTATTTGCACAAACGGCATCAAGCCCCAAAAAAGCTGATGGCAGAAGTTTCAATTATTATTATTTTATTATTTATATCGTTACATTTAATTAAAATGAATTGTTATGAACAAAAAATATACAATTTTTTATTGCCTCTGTCTTTTTACTTTTTAAAAAACAATTATAATCGAAACCCTTTTTATTGTGTTTTGGTTTGGTGGACAGATCAGCATTTAAATATTTATATGGTACACACCAATAATTAGTATCCAACGAAGCCATCAAATTATATTTATTTTAATATTTATTATATATTTTTTTATATTTTTAATAATAGTAATAGTAATAACAATAATTCTTTAACTTTATATATAATATATATCAATTGCGGTGTATACTCATAAACTTTCTACATCTCTAATAATAATGATAATTAGGAATTGCACGATTTAGGGCGTGACCCACCATCATCTTGCAGTGCTGGACCTATTGGTGACGATCTTTTCCACTGGCAAGCTACAATTATGGGACCCGTAAGTTCAATAATCTATATATATATATTTATATATATAGTAATATAATCATTTTGCTAATAAACTTATGGAATTAGACTGATTCTCCATATGCTGGCGGTGTATTTTTCCTTGCTATCCATTTTCCCACAGATTATCCGTTCAAACCACCAAAAGTAAGAAATAATAATTTTATATTGTTAATAAATTATTTATATTTTTATTAATATATATTTGTGTTCAATCGATTAACATACTAATACTAATAAATGTAATCAATCATAATATTGTTGTATTATTATAATCAAATTATATATTATAATTATAGGTTAATTTTACAACAAGAATTTATCATCCGAATATTAACTCTAATGGTTCCATATGTCTGGATATCCTAAGAGACCAATGGTCGCCTGCTCTAACTATTTCTAAAGGTAAGAGATAGATATTATGATAATTATTGTGATTAATATTCATACATAATATTTTACTAATCGAATTATAATAATAATGAACATCATCATCATTCACCAGTTCTTCTGTCTATTTGTTCCATGTTGACTGATCCTAATCCAGGTAGATATTAAATAATATGTGTGCGCACACTCACATTTGATATAATATTCACCATTATATCAGTTATTAATAATTAATTGTATTAGATGATCCACTTGTGCCTGAGATCGCACATGTTTATAAGACCGATAGACCTCGTTATGAGGCAACTGCCAGGGAATGGACACGTAAATATGCTAGTAAGTGATTGATTCATATTATTATAAATTATTTAGTGTTTTTGAAGATAAATTTTATTAACAAAATTATTTTTATTTTTTTCAAATACTATTAATAATAAATAATAGTGTAAAAGAAGAATTGGAATCATTAGTTATAAATACAAATTAAAATTTTTTTATTATATATATTCGATGCCTTGATTACAATTGTTTTTATTAAGTTTGCTTTTTTCTTTTTATATATATAAATACACATACATATAAACATAAATATATATAATAATTATATATTTATTATATATCTTAATAAAATTTTTTATTAATCATTTTTTTTATCTTTTTGAAATTATGTTGATCATCATTTTATTATAATACATATAGTAATCAGAACAATAATAATAATACATTCGGTTAAATTATATATACGCGCGTGTTTAACTAAAAAAAGAGGAAAAATAAAAATACAATCATTATATAATTTATTAGAAAAAATTTTTTTTTGTGGGTCTGTCGATAAATTCAGGCCCTGCTTTAGAAATGTCTTACACGAGGCATGCTGCAGCAAAATCAAGTAATGAAACAATTGTACTACTACCCACAATCAGACTTTACAAAATCATTCATTTGTTCTAAATCATCTTTTCATTTGATCCAATGCTTACATTTGTTGGAGCCAGTAGTAAAGCCAATAAAACCAGATTAAGAAAAATTTGAAGGAAACTAATAATAATACTTATCTAAGAAAAATTGCCTTGGTTGAACAGTATCAACTTTAATTCAATCTAAACAAGAAAGTAAAGAAGGGCCTGATAATTTTTCGACTTCGCAGGTAAAAGAAGTAGCCAAAAAGAATAAAGTTTGACGAATCCCACTTATTAAATAATTCAGTATTTTTCATAAAAAATTGGCTACTCTAAGGCTTGATTTTTGCAATATTTTTAAGGGAAACCCTGCTTTGATAATTCTTTATTGCAGGGATAATTATAAATTATTTTAATTTTTTCTTTCGATAAATTCTGGGCTTTCGTGATTATGTTCTTTTATTTCTCTCTAATTCCTGGTTGAATTATTTGATCTGCAAATAAGCAAACACGTGGAAACCTTTTTTCACACCTCTCCTATGTATATTTTCTTTGCTATTCTATCTATTCATGGTCTTTGCTTCCTTTTTTTATTTATGTTGCTTCTTCTCCGACGGGATCAATAATAATCTTTTGAAAATCCAAATAGTTAATAAAAGAAAAGCATTGCCAAAAAAAGATGTCCTGTTTATGTAATGTGCGGGACCCTGGTGGTAGCACGGCCGAAGTACAAGAAATCTTGGTGGTGATAATTTGTTTAAATGAAAATTTAAAAAAAGGAAATTTTTGGATGCTAATTTTTTCAAATTTAAGAATTTTCTTTATTTTATCCTTATATTTTTTTACTAAGAGCATCACTAAAACCATAACCAAATAAATCAATGCCTTCTAAACCAACCATCATTAATAAGTGCAATGTGCCATTTTCCATTGCATTACATTTGATAATATTCTGTTTGCTAAAACCTCTTTCACAATCTACACTAGAAAATGGAATTGATGCACTATTTCTATAAGTTTTAAGATATGAATAAAACTTGGAAGTTTGGAAATTGGAGTATTTTCTTTTGCCATCCAGTAATTCATTTTCATTATATTAATTATATGTTTGTTACCATTATTATTGGCTTTTTTGGAAGAATCTTGCATGGTTATTCTTGCCTTTTCTAGAAGCAAAGAACCATTATGTTGGTTTGAAAGTGTATGAGTTGCTAGAGCAGTAGATTTTGAAACATTCTTTGATCCTAAATAATAACATTATAACATTAGTAAATTAATAATTATGAATGCAAAATTAATTATATTTATTTGTCACCTTTTCCTGCAAATAGATTTTTTTCTCATGTACTTTACAAATTGTGCAAAATATTCTTTTCATTGCTGTATCATATTTTAACCATTTATATATGTTAGCCATTCATGCTGAAAACTTCTTCCTGATTTTTAAAATGCACTTTTTTATTTGACATTTTAATATTTTTTACACTTAATTCACTAGTTTTCTTTTTTTTATTTGATTTTTTTGAAGTAGCATCATCATCTGAACCTTGAATTATCAAATCACCTGAACTTTCTATATCTGATTCATCAATATTTGTTTCATCTATAAATGCTTCATCCCAAATTTCAGTAGTCAAATTATCTAATTCTTGTTCTATTCTATTTTATTTTTTTGAATAAGGAAAAACAAATATACATAATTCATATTTAAAGTATATATATTTTAAATTTAATAATTTAATAGCTGTGAAATAAGATTTAAATTGAGTCAATACTTTTCTTCTGAAAATTCAAAAGATACAAATTATGGTTCTTTTCTAAAATATTGAAGTAATGACACACATATACTGTATGTATATATTTAGTATAAATTTTTTTTTATATGGATGGAAAAATCTGTACAAAAAAATAAAAATAAAAATAAAAAGGAAAAATATCCAGCAACTCTTTTTTCTGGAAGTTAAAAATTTTTAAAGGAAAATCTTTAAAGTACTATTTCCAGCCCTGGACACAATGGTATTTGGTTCACAATTCTGAGCACAACCATGAAGCATCAGAGGATATGTCTGGTCATCCAATTGCTCGCAGGTTGAACACTGAGCAATGTGAGCTAGTTCAACAAATGTCTACTGCTGGATCCCATTCTTGTGAAATTTTGTCAACCATTCATCAGAATGATCCTTCTTCTATGGCCACATCCAGAACAATCTACAATACTCTGCATTCCATTCATGAAGAAAGACTTGATGGTCATACACCAATTTAAGCTCTTTTTGATGCACTACAAGAATCTGACTTCAAGTTTGATTATCAATGTGATCATCAAAATCACATCACACACCTTTTTTTGGACACAGGATATCCATTGCCTTGACTCATACCTAACCTGTTGTACTACTTTTGGATTGTACATACAAAACAAACAGATATCATATGCCTCTTCTAAATGTTGTTGGAATGACAAGCTTTAACACAACATTCTTTTCCTGCTTTGTCTTCCTGAAAGACGAAATAGAAGCAGATTATGAATGGGACTTAACTTGTATTTCAAAGATCTTCAATGGAATGCCTTATCCTAACATCATTGTCACTGATGAATGCCATTGGTAGAGACTTTCCTGATGCTCACCATCTTCTATGTATTTGGCACATAAACAAGAACATTTTAGCCAAATGTAAATGTCACTTTGTTACAGAAGAACATTGGACTAAGGTTGTGGGCAAAACTCCTCCAGAAATCAATTGACAGGTTACACATTAATTGCTTGTTAGAGTTAAGGTTTCTGGTCCAAACTGTTTTCTCAAAGCCCAAACTAGTTTGGGCAATTTGGGCTTCTCAACATTTTTTA